AAATGAGAGCCAAAAATAGAATTTGATAGGGTAAAGGAACACTTAAGAAAGCTAAAAACAAGGATAAAGAGAACCCATGGAACAAAAAGAAAATCAGGAATACAAAAATGTTTAACATAACCTTAGAAAGGAGAGTTTCAAGGATGGGCATGGTGGCTCACGCCCGTAATCCTAGCACTCTGGGAGGTCAAGGCGGGTAGATCACGAGGTCAGGAGTTCGAGACCAGCCTGGCCAACATAGTGAAACCCCATCTCTACTAAAAATATATAAAAAATTAGCCGGGCATGGTGGTGGGCAACTGTAATCCTAGCTACTCAGGAGGCTGAGACAGGGGAATCACTTGAACCTGGGAAGCAGAGGTTGCAGTGAGCCGAGATTGTGCCACTGCACTCCAGCCTGGGTGACAGAGCAAGACTCCATCTTGAAAAAAAAAAAGAGAGAGAGTTTCAAGATCAAAATTGTCAAAATCAGTGAAGCTTCGTTAAAGACTTTACCGAGGCTGGGCACGGTGGCTCACACCTGTAATCCCAGCACTCTGGGAGGCAGAAGTAAGGCGGATCACCCCAGGTTGGGAGTTCCGGACCACCCTGACCAACATGAAGAAAACCCATCTCTATTAAAAATACAAAATTAGCCAGGCGTGGTGGCAGGTGTCTGTAATCCAGCTACTTGGGAGGCTGAGGCAGGAGAATCGCTTGAACCCGGGAGGCACAGGTTGCAGTGAGCTGAGATTGCACCATTGCACTCCAGCCTTGGCAACAAGAGCAAAACTCCGTCTTAAAAAACTAAAAAAGGAAAGAAAAAAGCGGGGGGAACTATCCCGCATTCACTGGACTTAGCAAAAAATAAAGGTCACCTAGCAAATGCCCCTTCAGTACTGTGGTCAGGGCTGGAAACCAGATGAATGAATGGAAGATGGGAAGTGCAGGCTTTCAGAAACCCAGCTGGGAATGGAAAGAGGGAGAGAGAGATATTAATAGATGGTATTGGAAGAGGACCCAGGAACAAGGGTGCTTTTTTTAAAAAATAGATGTGTGCATCTAAAAATATGCAGTGGTAAAGAGCCAGTAAAGAATAAAAGCAAGTAGAAAGTAAGGAGTAAGAAGTGCGGGTGGGATGATGGGGGAAAAAAATTAAGAGGGTTCTTAACTTAAGGCCAATACTCCCCCTTGAAAATAAAAGGATATTATTTACTATGTGATGCTAAAGATATATGAGAAAAAAAATGATCAAACAGCTGATTTAAACGGTGAGAGTGAATTGTTTAGAGAGCCTATCTCCATAATTGTACCCTGACTCCATCCCTAATACTGGTCAATCACCTTCTGTTTCTAGCTGGTCCTACTGGAATAAAACAAGAGGTATGGAATCAGAAAAGCACAGCAGTGGAAGACACTCATTGACAGAATGGAAAAATAGAGGCGCAAGGTGGATACATGGCTGCCTACACCACACTAAAAGAGTATGAAAACAGCAAACTATAAAGACTCATTTTCTTTTTCTTTTGTTCTTTTTTTTGAGATAGAGAGTTTCGCTTTTGTTGCCCAGGCTGGAGTGCAATGGCACGATCTCTGCTCACCGCAACCTCCACCTCCCGGGTTCGGGTGATTCTCCTGCCTCAGCCTCCCGAATAGCTGCGATTACAGGCATGTGCCACCACACCCGGCTAATTTTGTATTTTTAGTAGAAATGGGGTTTCTCGGCTGGGCACGGTGGCTCAAGCCTGTAATCCCAGCACTTTGGGAGGCCGAGATGGGCAGATCACAAGGTCAGGAGATCGAGACCATCCTGGCTAACACAGTGAAACCCCGTCTCTACTGAAAAATACAAAAAACTAGCCGGGCAAGGTGGCGGGCGCCTGTAGTCCCAGCTACTCGGGAGGCTGAGGCAGAAGAATGGCGTAAACCCAGGAGGCGGAGCTTGCAGTGAGCTGAGATCCAGCCACTGCACTCCAGTCTGGGCGACAGAGTGAGACTCCATCTCAAAAATAAATAATACTAAGACTAATAATAAAGAAATGGGGTTTCTCCATATCGGTCAGGCTGGTCTCCACTGCCCGACCTCAGGTGATCTGCCCATCTCCGCCTCCCAAAGTGCTGGGATTACAGGCGTGAGCCACTGTGCCCAGCCAGTAGAGACTCATTTTCTTTCTTTTTTTTTTTTTTTTTTCTTGTTGCCCAAGCTGGAGCACAGTGATGCAATCTCAGCTCACTGCAACCTCCACCTCCTGGGTTCAAGTGATTCTCCTGCCTCAGCCTCCTGAGTAGGTGGGACTACAGACGCCTGCCACCACACTCAGCTAATTTTTTGTAATTTCAGCTAATTTTTTTTTAATGGGGTTCCACCATGTTAGCCAGGATGGTCTCAATCTCCTGACCTCAAGATCCGCCCACCTCGGCCTCCCAAAGTGCTGGGATTACAGACGTGAGCCACCCCGCCTGGCCCAAGTTGTATTTCTTTTTTTTTTTTTTTTTTTTTGAGACGGAGTCTTGCTCTGTCCCCCAGGCTGGAGCATAGTGGCCGGATCTCAGCTCACTGCAAGCTCCGCCTCCCAGGTTTACGCCATTCTCCTGCCTCAGCCTCCCGAGTAGCTGGGACTACAGGCGCCCGCCACCTCGCCCGGCTAGTTTTTTGTATTTTTTTTTTAGTAGAGACGGGGTTTCACCGTGTTAGTCAGGATGGTCTCGATCTCCTGACCTCATGATCCGCCCGTCTCGGCCTCCCAAAGTGCTGGGATTACAGGCTTGAGCCACCGTGCCCGGCCTCAAGTTGTATTTCTTTAAGTCTGTCTACAAAGAAACAACAAAGCTTCCCCATAATATCAAAAGGTATGTTTTAATAGTTCTAAGCGATCATGATTAAGTAAAATTTTAAATGCTTTATGTTAAAAAAAATTGTTTTAATTACTTTGGACCCTAAATTGCTTAAACTTTTTTTTAAAAAGTAAAAAATGCTTTACGTATTAGACACAACAATATAATTACTAAAATTACTGGAGAAACATGGTTAAAATTTAAAACTATGCTTATTAGAGCAAGGTGATTTTATCTACCAATATTGTATTAATATGTATCTGCTCACTTTACTCTGGTAACTTCACTTTGAATTCAACTGTTAGAGACCACCAAGACCCTCTATCTTAACTCTCTCATAGGTGTGCTGTGTGAGTTAATTCCAACAATTCTAATATTAGCCTGTACTGTTTTGTTAAAGTTCCTGCGTGGCAATGACCCCTGATCAAGGCATGAAAAATACTGATTGAATGGTGGTGTTTTGTATCTGTGGGTCGGGGGATATTCAGGTGGTTTACTATCAGCATTGTTTAATGTGATTGATGATTTGCACTTGGTCTCAATGAAGCTCTTCCTCTGACCTCCACTGAAGAGGCTAGAGAACAGGAACATGTCCGCTTGACAAGAAAAGTATTAAAAAGCCCAGTGAAGACTCTATTTTGGGCTCCTACGTTCCAAGGTGTCCTGTGCACACATCCTGCTCTGAGAGAGAAAATGCACCCCATCACAGACTTTACACAACAAAGGACAACTGGAACTTGCACCCGAACTCTCTGGATGACTTGCTATGACAGCCTTTGACTGTGATGCATATCCTTACTATAATCCTGCTACTAGATTGTATCCTTTTCCTGTAATAAACTGTAGATGCATAATCATTGCCATTCTAGGCCCTGTGAGTCTTCTTTGGCAGTCAAACCCTTTTTCACTGCCTCTGTCAGTGCAATAGGCCTTAACTCTAACATTCATTTCCAAAAAGCAAAAATTTCTTTTTTTTTTTTTTTGAGACGGAGTCTCGCTGTGTCTCCCAGGCTGGAGTGCAGTGGCGTGATCTCGGCTCACTGCAAGCTCCGCCTCCCGGGTTCATGCCATTCTCCCGCCTCAGCCTCCCGAGTAGCTGAGACTACAGGCGCCCGCCACCACGCCCGGCTAGTTTTTTGTATTTTTAGTAGAGACGGGGTTTCACCGTGTTAGCCAGGATAGTCTCGATCTCCTGACCTCGTGATCCACCCGCCTCGGCCTCCCAAAGTGCTGGGATTACAGGCTTGAGCCACCGCGCCCGGCCTCAAAAAGCAAAAATTTCTAACCTGTTACATGTCTCTTGGCTTCTGCCATGAAGTTAAGAGTCAATACAAACCTGTTATTAGAAGTCTGGGCCAGGCGCGGTGGCTCACGCCTATAATCTCAGCACTTTGGGAGGCCAAGGCAAGTGGATCACAAGGTCAGGAGATCGAGACCATCCTGGCTAATAAGGTGAAACCCTGTCTCTACTAAAAATACAAAAATTAGCCGGGCATGGTGGCAGGCGCCTGAAGTCCCAGCTACTCGGGAGGCTGAGGGAGGAGAATAGTATGAACCTGGGAGGTGGAGCTTGCAGTGAGCTGCGACTGCACTCCAGCCTGGGCAACAGAGCGAGACTCCGTCAAGAAACAGAGAAAGAGAGAAAGAAAGAAACAAAGAAACAGAGAGAGAGAGAGAAAGAAAGAAGGAAAGAAAGGAAAGGAGGAGAGGAGAGAAGAGGAGAGGAGGAAAAGAAAAAGAAAAGAAGGAAAGAAAGAAATCTGAACGTGGCCAGGTTCTGTGACTCACGCCTGTACTCCCAGCACTTTGGAAGGCCGAGGCAGGCAGATCACCTGAGATTGGGAGTTCGAGACCAGCCTGGCCAAAATGGTAAAACTAAAAGTACAAAAATTAGCCGGGCATGGTGGTACATGCCTGTAATGCCAGCCACGCAGGAAGCTGAGGCAGGAGAATCACTTGAACCCAGCAGGCAGAGGCTACAGTGAGCCAAGATTGCGCCACTGCACTCTAGCCTTGGCAACAGAGCAAGACTCCATCTCAAAAAAAAAACAAAAACAAAAACAAAAAAAAAGAAATCTGAATGTGTCCTAAGAGTGAGTCACCACCACCAACTTCATGAGGACAGCACATTGCCAAATATATATTGTATGAGTCGAAGGAAAACAAAAAACAAAATCACTTGTTACCTTCATGTTTTTCCAGAGCCTGTATAACATTGGGTAGTTGATTTATACCCTGATAGAGCCGGTAACAATCTTGTAAGTTTGCTGCTTGTCTTTGAAACTTCTTGGCAAGTCGGTTAAGATCTGGGAATCGACGAAGTAAATCTTCTTGTAAAGTCTGCCTCAATTCTGCATCTTCTACAAAAGCTTCCACTAAATTCAATCTGAAATAAATTAACTTGCATTAATCTAAAATATTTTAGTATAAAATTAAAATTTGTCAACTAAGCACATAAGTCTCAACTAAGTGAGCTCAAAATTCCATTTAAGAAGCTTGAATCCACCTGGCGCAGTGGTTCACACCTGTAATCCCAGCACTTTGAGAGGCCGAGGCAGGCGGATCACCTGAGTTCGGGAGTTCGAGACTAGCCTGACCAACATGGAGAAACCCCGTCTGTACAAAAAATACAAAATTAGCTGGGCATGGTGGCTCATGCCTGTAATACCAGCTACTCGGGAGGCTGAGGCAGGAGAGTCACTTGAACCCGGGAGGCAGAGGTTGCGGTGCACTGAGATCACACCATTGCACTCCAGCCTGGGCAACAAGAGCAAGACTCCGTCTCAAAAAAAAAAAAAGAAAAAAAAAGAAGCTTGAATCTAGGCTGAGTGCAGTGGCTCACACCTGTAATCCCAGCACTTTGGGAGGCCGAGGTGGGCAGATCTCAAGGTCAGGAGTTTGAGACAAGCTTGGCCAGCATGGTGAAACCCCGTCTCTACTAAAAATACAAAAAAATTAGCTGGGCATGGTGGCGCACGCCTGTAATCCAGGCTACTTGGGAGGGTGAGGCAGGAGAATTGCCTGAACCCAGGAGGCAGAGGTTGCAGTGAGCCGAGACAGCGCCCCTGTACTCCAGCCTGGGCGACAGAGCGAGACTCCGCCTCAAAAAAAAAGAAAGAAAGAAAGAAAGAAGCTTGAATCTATTCTGAAACGTTAGCTTTTTTAGAAGGTGGAAAGCTCTGTAAGACTGTGAGGCAAACATTTCCTGATTAGCTAAGAGTCAAATTAATGTTTAGTTAAGCAGTATCATAAGACACTGACATATACCCAATTTTGTTTGACTTTCATCAAACAGACATGCCTTAAATAGGTGAAAGAATTTCATTACTGGGACATTGTTATGGACACACTGTTGCACATGTAAATAGTGATGTTTAATGAAACAGAACTACAGTTCAAGAATGTTGCCCAATCCAATACTTAGTGTATCTCTTACACATTTTTAGAATGCTTTCTAAAATTACCTCTTGACGGTACAAAGCCAAAAACTGTTAATTAAAAAACTAAAATAATTTTACTGCTTCCCAAAGTCAATAACATCTCAGCTTGTTTCAAGAACGATAGAATATGCAGTTCATATTGCTTCTGTAAGTTATTGGAAATCAGTGACTTTTCATTTTTTTCAGTGTAACCACAGCAAGAAATGTCTTTACATCACAATCCAGCACATGCATATACAGATCTATCATTAAAATAGGTTTCACAAATCAATACTTATATTCCAATTATGTGATACACCCTGCTATTTTCTTTTTTTTTTTTTTGAAACAGAGTCTCGTTCTGTCGCCCAGGCTGGAGTGCAGTAGTGCAATCTCGGCTCACTGCAACCTCCAGTTCCCGGGTTCAAGTGATTCTCGTGCCTCAGCCTCCTGAGTAGCTGGGACTACAGGCGCGTGCCACCACACCCGGCTAATTTTTTGTATTTTTAGTAGAGACGGGATTTCACACTAGCCAGCATGGTCTCAACCTCCTGACCTCGTGATCCACCCGCCTCGATCCACCCGCCTCGGCCTCCCAAACTGCTGGGATTACAGGCATAAGCCCACTCTGCCATTTTCTATCGTATTTAATTCTTCAAATTGCTCTTTGTCACCTAATTTAACGACCCACTACTGGGTAACACCTTGCAGTTTGAAAAACAATGTTGGAGATGTTACTAAAGTAATAGCTGAAAGGTAAATTGCTGAAGCTGAAAGGTAAACTAACAATCGAAGGTGGGAAAATGTTCCTACATATTTTGCACATCTCCAAATACAGTTTTAGAGAAACTTTTCTGGAGACCATAGGTATTATAGATGACTCAAGGTTGAGAACGCTATCAGATGAGCAACCATCTTCCTTATGTTTGTAAACAATGTGACAGTAAACTAAACCTCAAATTACACAGGTATAGAAAGGAAACAAATCTACTTTCTAAATTGAGAAGCTGGGACTACAGGTGCCCGCCACCACACCTGGCTAATTTTTTCGGATTTTTAGTAGAGATGCGGTTTCACTGTGTTAGCCAGGAAGGTCTCGATCTCCTGACCTCGTGATCCTCCTGCCTCAGCCTCCCAAAGTGCTGGGATTACAGGAGTGAGCCACCGCGCCTGGCCCTAAATTTCTTAACTATTTACTGACATCACTAGCATTTACAATTCCTGTGTTACCAAAATGTTTATCAAGCATGTTATAAGAGGAAAAATACGTTATCTCCAGAGTACACACAAAATGGCCACACATAAAAACACATTTAAAGCATAATTTCTCAATCTTGGCAACACTGCCATTTTAGGCTACATAAATATTTTTTGTAAGGGGCTGTTCCATGCTTGATTAACAGCAACCCTGGATTCTACCCACTATACACTCTCTTCCTCTGCATGACAACCAAAAATGTCTCTAGACACTGCTGAATGTTCCCTGGAGGGAAAAACTGCCCCAGGTTGAGACTGCTGGCTTAAAGGAACTTGAATTAAAATTCACTTTTTAAGAGAAAAGTAACCTAAACCATGTCCAGCTAATGTCTAGGCAGCTAACAAGAGATACATGTTTTTTATGGAATATGCCAAATTAGTGGGAACACAATTTGCTGCCAAGTTTACAGCCCCGTCAATGGGGCTATAAACAAACATCAAGATTAATTAGGATGCCTACTGCTCCAGAAAAGATTTTTGTGGCATATACTCTACATTTGAAAAAAGAAACAATGGATGTAGTCAAATTACACAATTCAATAAAGCGAACTTTGGGGGGCTTTCCTAGCTAAGCGTCTGGATCTAATTGGGCTTCATCAAGTCTGGTCCAAGGACCACCAGCATCACAATCACTTGGAGGTAGATAATACAAAATCCCTGGGAGTGGGGCCCAGCTGTGAAATCCCATGCAATTATTATGCACACAGCTTGATTCTTATGCACATAGAAGTCTGAATCCTAACAATCACAGAAATCCCTTAGTTATCTTAACAAAGCATGTAGGCCAGGTGCGGTGGCTCACACCTGTAAGCCCAGCTCTTTCAGAGGTCGAGGAGGGCGGATCACGAGGTCAAGAGATCGAGACCATCCTGGCCAACCAACATGGTGAAACTCTATCTCTACTAAAAATACAAAAATTAGCTGGGCGTAGTGGCACACGCCTGTAGTCCCAACTACTCTGGAGGCTGAGGCAGGAGAATCGCTTGACCTGGGAGGCGCAGGTTGTAGTGAGCCGAGATCGCGCCACTGCACTCCAGCCCAGGCGACAGAGTGCAATTCCATCTCAAAAAAAAAATAAAAATAAAGCAGGGAAGGAGGTATAAAGGGGCAAGAAAAGATTGACAAAGTCTAATGCTGGCTGACCTACACCCTCACCTTTCCTTTTCTCTTCTTTGCATAAAACTCCCATATCCTTGTGGGTGACACTGAGGTCAATGGTAAAAAACATCACAGAGACTATACTTCTGATAAAATAATCTTATGCTTCTTCTCTGTTTCCAGTATTTTATCACTTAATTTCATCACTTAATCAAACTGACCAGAAAATAAATCGCAAGTAATCAACAGAGTTGAAGAGCCCACAAGCACACATACCCTTTCCTCTCCTCAGTGGAAGAGGTGGCTGTGCATCCCTACCTGGGAACTGAAAGGAGTCTGTGCAAAGTCAGCCAATTTTGTACCTCTGAAAAACTGATTTTCTACTGAATTTTATACTATATGATGTCTCACCTATTCAAGAGAAATTATTAGAAATAAAAAATTTATAAATATATAGTGAAATGAAAAAAACTATAAATACTGTTGGGAAGAAATACAAATTATAGTCATAATATGACCCCATATTGTTTTTAAGTGTTATCTATGTTTTTAAAAATGTATATATCTGTATAAATAAAGGAAAAAAAAAACCCTGGAAGGGTAAGAACACAAACTAAACTGTTAACACTGATTACCACCACAGACTAGGACTGGAGGTAAAGTAGAAGTAGGGGTGTTTACCCTCTTGATTTTTTAAAAACATGACCTGACCCTGTAGTGCTTTTCAAATAAAGTTAAATTATTTTTAAAAAACACAAATTATGAGATATAGCAATGATAAAACACAAATGAGAAGCCACAAATGCACACTTTTGTTGTACTTTTACAAATTGTTTGCCAACAAATTGTAAAACAGCTTTCTCTCAAGCAGCAACAGTTACACTTCCTATTTGCTCTTCATATCCCTTTCACATCCTACAAAGGATAAACCAAGAATAAAGCAAACTTGGTAAGAGAGAACCAATGGGGTTTTGTTGTAAAGAACAAGGTGGACAGATGCACTACTGCTAAGTGCTGTAGAGTAAGAACAGAACACTCCAAATTTAAAAAATCAAAACATCTCTTTCTGTTTTTCTTTCTCTCTTCTTTTATGAGACGAATTTGTGCTCGTTGCCCAGGCTGGAGTGCAATGGCTCTGGTCTTGACTCCTGACCTCAGGTGATCCGCTGTCCTCAGCCTCCCAAAGTGCTGGGATTATAGGCGTGAGCCACCGCACCCGGCAAAACATCTCTTTCCTTTTTGTCTTATTTCTCCAAAGTCCATGAAGAGAGCTGATACCTCTAGTTCATCCTTACTGGTTTTAAAAGATAGTCAAACAGGCCGGACACGAGCTTACGCCTGAAATCCCAGCACTTTAGGAGGCCAAGGCGGGCAGATCACGAGATCAGGAGTTTCAGACCAGCCTGACCAACATGGTGAAACACCATCTCTACTAAAAATACAAAACTTAGGCCGGGCACAGTGGCTCACACCTGTAATCCTAGCATTTTGGGAGGCCAAGCAGGTGGATCACCTGAGGTCAGGAGTTTGAGACCAGCCTGGCCAACATAGCAAAATCCCTTCTCTACTAAAATTAGAGAAATTAGCCAGACGTGGTGGCACAGGCCTATAA